TAGAGCTTGCCCGCGTAGAGGACTTCGAGAGAGTATTTTAGGCACTGAACAATTTCCGATAATTTAAAAAAATTTTGTTGTTATGTATAGAAAAGATGCGCACCAGGTGACACTGCTCCTTTAAGGGAAGCACCTTAGTTGTGTATCGCTGCGGCATATATAAAGCATGTGATATATCACTATATATTTAACAAATATAAAACATTTTCCGTGTTGATATACAGTTATATCAACACGAGTGGAATTGGGAAAACGAGAAATTGTATGGAAACAAGACGCCCGAAGGGCGGAGTGTTTTCATACAATTTCGAGTTTTCCCAACTTCCACGAGTGTTGATATAACTATATATCAATATGGAAAAAATGTTTTATGTTTTTTTTATAATATAGCAATGTCAAAAGCCTGAAGGATAAGAAAAATTTCCGTGTTTACGAGCGGCGGAAAATTTCCCGTGTTGACATTGAGTTATATCAACACGGCTCTTAGCCAATCAGCGTTCATAATTTACAAATGCTATATTATAAATACTAGTTATAACATAGAGAACAACGATGCGAATTGAAGCGAATGATGAACATAAGGATAATTTATGCCTGAGCTCTTGTTGAACTCTTAGCTTTCTATGGTAATATTTGTCAACAAAATATGTGTTGACAACTTAGAATTTTGTAATTGTTTTAAAAACCTAAATTTTGAATTACTTCATCTTTTCGTAACTGATCTTTCCATTTACTATATCGATCAAAATGCGAGAAACAAGCCAGATATGCATGGTTCAGAGAGTTTGCAAGTGACCGTGCAAATCAGTCATATAGATGTGCTTATTAAATGATGTTCTGGTAGTCAGAGATTCTTGTATTTCCTCCGTATTCTTCTTGTAATATCATGATTGCGGGTATTCCCTTTGTTCTCGCAGGGCAATTAATAACTAATACACCTCATTATATTCATTTTTTCTAATCCTACCCGCTTTTACGTCATGTCAGGTAGAATTAGTTCTAATCCTACCCGAAACGACGTCAAAGCGGGTACGTTTAGAAAAAATGAATATATATGAAATCGCCAAAACTAAACAAAGACATGGAAAAGAATTATACCATTTAATTTATACCATTATTTATTGTTAATTGGTTTTTAATGGCCCCGCGAGAACAACGGGAATACCCGCAATTGAAAACGTCCCGCCCGATGAGGGTCGTTTAGTAAAATTCCCTTGGGCGCCGCTCGATTCGGGTCATTTAGTAAAATTCCCTCGGGCCTTCGGCCCTCGGGAATTTTACTAAATGACCCTCATCGAGCGGCGCCCAAGGGAATTTTATTAAATTACCCTCATCGGGCGGGACGTTTTAATAGCTAATTCGCCTCTTTCTATGCTATTACTTATAATAAGAATATAAACAGGGCGGACAATACATATAGGATATTAGACGGTTGCGAAGAGATATGGATTTTATGTTCGAGTGGCATTGTTTTTGACACGAGAGCATAAATCCATATCTTCTCGCAACCGTTTAATGTTCTGTTTATTATATGGACTTACTCCGAGTCACAAAAATATACACTGACAAAGACGACAAGTAAATAAGCACGCGAAAGACCAATATAAAAGCGATATTTTTTAAAATTATAGTGCAAACGTAAAACTAGAATAAATTTTACTTATCTCAAGATGCCTTTTAAATGTTTTCGTTTTATTTCCAACGTTAATTTCGTTTTAAATACGAACCAAAGACCATTTGTATTTTCAAAACAACAACAATGAAAATGGCGGGAAATTTTCGAACTTCGTATGTCACTAGCAGGGGTGAAATACGGAAAATACGCGCACCTGGCCCCGGATGTAGTGACGTATGAGTTCTACGAGTGTTTTAGTTTCCAGTAAAACACCTTTGACCATATAATAAAAGAACATCTGACAAACAGCCGGGTAACTAATCGGTGATTAATATGAATAGCATGGCTTGCAAATACTTACTACATTAGAGATCTGGCTCAGCTCAGTTAGGTTCAGCTCTTTCAAATAATCTGACAAGGTCAAACCAGCGACTTGGTATGTAAAGCGTCTTCACAATATCATCAAGGCTTCCATAAACCCGTTGAAACTGTCCTTGTGAGCAAGTATATTTTTCTGCTAGATCCAGTGCAGCGCACAACCTCTCCATATCGTCCTTCTAAAACCTGAATAAAGTGAAAATTTGTTTGCAAAAGGGCTTGTTTATTCAAAACGAAAAACAGATTTTCCAACCTGAACATTGTTTCACAGTCGTCCTCGCTGATATCGTCCAAATCTAAATGTTTTTCTAGTTGTTTAGAATTAAGCAACATTTTCAAAAACAAAAATTCATAGTCATCTCGGTCATATTGATATACTACAAGGGCACATTTTCGTGTAAAAATTCAGAATACTTGGCAATATTAAATTCGGTGATGATACACTAAGTACATATAAGGTAGGCTTTTCTGCTGCGCTTTTCTGCTGCTATAATTATGCTCTCAAAATGAAATTTTTTCTTACCACGTTTTAACTAGTCTTCGTGCAGCCTCAACTCGAATTTTTTCTTGATATTTTAATAAATTCGGGTTGACCTTGCACGCGCAGGCTACGCTTCAATAGTACAGTATCTCAAGCCTGACCTGAAACTATTTTGCATAGCTCAAACCGCTATCTGCGGCGCTGTCTTTTGTTTTGATGTATTTTTTATTTGCCAACGCACTCTATCATCATTTGTTTTCCACATGTGTAATTTAAACCCAGCTTCAGCTTTCACATACATCCGCGCCGTAAGTTTGCGCAACAATTTCACTTTGCATTGTGGTAATCCATGCCTAGTTGTGATTGTACTCAGATTGAGATTTTGTACACCTGTATATCCGTTTTAGTCTGCTACCTTGCTCGCTCGCTCGGTGAAGGCTCGCTCGCTGCGACATTTTTATATAAAGCATATGATACAAGTTATAACATATAGAGAAGAACGAGAAAATTTGAAGCGAATGATGAACTTAAGGATAATTTATATCTGAGCTCTTGTTTGTCAAGAAAATATGTGTTGACAAACTTGAAATTTTGTAATTGTTAAAACTTGAAATTTTAAATTTTGTAAAACCTTAATTTTGAATTACTTCATCTTTTCGTAAAAAATCTTTCCATTTACTATATCGATCAAAATGAACGAGTCAGACCGCCTTAAATAGTTCAGTTAATCTAGCACAAACTACACGTTTTCATTTTAAAATGAAGTTGATAAAGTCGAGAGAGCTTAAAATATGTAAAACTAGTACAAGGACTTGTCGACGACGAATGCAAGAACAACACAAGTAAAAACAATGGATTCGTTTTGTAAACAAAGACGAATGCAGATGAAAAACAAATTTAAACCGGATTACCAATTTTAAAAGTATAAAAGCACAAGTAGCTGTTTCTTGTTACGTCCGCGTTCTAAATTTAGCGCAATCTATAACCTTCCTGTACTAATCTGATTAGCAAAGTGATGAATAATATGATGAGTATTAGCCTCTGCCTCGTCCCCAGTCGCTTGCTATCAAATAATTAATTAGTAAAAGACGAAAAAAAATAATGGGGGCGCGCGGGACGATGGGAAGGGGAGGAGTTGCGGAGCGACTGGCAAATCCTGCATTCAAGATGGCGACCGCTGCAATTGTGGACGAAGGATTGTCGTCCGGTTCATATTTGCATTTCCGACATTGGAGTGGGGAAGATTAAAATATCTCGGCAAGTATTTGCTCGCCCTTTAAAACGAAAACCACCATTGAAATCCTCATAAAATAACCTTTCGAACGGGGGGTCAAATGCCGTCATAACATGACACAAACCAAAACGATCGTATATTTACTTGCCGCTTGGCCAAACATTCTTATTTCATATCGAGAAAAACTTGAATATCTTCTAAACTCTTCAGAATTCGCCCAAGTTAATAGCAGTAAAATATTCCTTGTATTCAAGCGATTTTATGTAGAGAGTTTCGTTTCAATACGACGAGCAGAAATATTTATTTTGAATTTTTCAAAATATCAGGTTTCTACTCGCACGCGCGTGCCACCGGCTGAAATTTAGATATTTTTAAATACTGAAATAAAAGATACAAATCTGCAGATACAAGCTGGAAAATAACACTCTAAATAGTATGTTGGATTGTGATTCGAACAAGACTAATACGAAAAAGATACGTTGAAAGGAGCCGAAGTTATATTCGGCGAAAGGTATGGCTTAGTGATACATGGCCATACATTGTTTACATTGTTCAAGTATATTGTATATAGGTATGGTATGGCTAGTTTACGTTGTTCGAGTATCGCTAGTTTATATTTTATGGCTATCTACAGTGTTCGAGCATATAGTTTCTTTCAAGCGGAATTTTTTGGTGGTATTTTGAATTCGTATTTCTTCGTATTTCTCAGCATTTAGCCCATTTGCAGATTTTCGAGTAAATTCGCAGATTTTCGAGTCACGATTTGGCAGGCCCTTATTTTAATTTTTTTCGTCTTCCCAGCATGCATCACAACAGATTTGTTCAGCCACTGATCTATATATTAAACTGATATGTCTATATATACACTGATCTACAAATAGTAAGGGCCTGCGGAGGAGGCAGTATTAGCCTAGTTTCAGAGCCAGTTTCAAAGTTATGATTTGGGACCGGATAAGAAAAGGCTAGTTTTTGCAATTTGAAACTAATACTACATGGGTCTTTTTAGATGGAATTTTCGAACGTAAATTTCCATACACATTTAGACCTAACTTGAGAAGTTGCCTAAAATGCAACGAAAGACCCTCTGGCAGGAATCAAATGTTCATGAAATTGAAAACGCCCACGCAATATCAACTTTAAACACTTGCTATAGTTTTGACCTTGACTCGTTGAATGTGCAGAATATTATAATCAGTCAAGTTTGAATGTTGTTTCAGCTACAAGTTCCAGTATATCTTATTCCGTTTAATATTTGCGTCAAAGGAAGAACATTCCTTTGGCAATGGCTTATTATTTGATTGATAACTAACAGCCCGCAAATTATATAAAAAGGCAACTAGCGGCATTCAGTGGAGATTAAACGCTTTCAATTGCCCATTAAGAAGACAGATACATTAGAATACCTCAAGTCAAGATACGAAAAGAAAAGAAGATGGTCAAAGCTTTCATTTTTGCTGTTTGTCTGGCATTATTCTGGAGTTCTGGTAATTTTTTTTAATTAGTCGAGTTTTTAACATCTACTATAGCTTTACGCGTCCGAATTAGACTTGCAGTGCCAATCAAAAAAATACTTAAGACATAAAAAATATAATTTAATTGTTAATATTAATGTTTCCGATAAAACTCGCCTGTTGCAATAGGTGATAAATTATTGTCTTAGCTGTCGTTGCATGTCGCAGGCGTATTCTTTTGGGTAGCCAGTTTTGTTTAAAAAAAACAACAGTAAACTAATTCAGATTTAGCTGACCTGATGATAGAGCATCCAAGACCATGACGATTGTAACTAGCAAAAAATACGCGGGCCTTCGCTCGAAATGTCGAAGTTCGGTCCTTGTATAGGTCTTCACATTGTTGCAACATGACTTAATATCTCTCGAACCGCAGCTTTCTTGTTATCGTCACTAAACCTACACTGGTATAGACCGTTCGAGTTCATGTGCGAGTGCAATTTGTATTTTTTTTCCAAATTTTGTGTTCTTTTCCGACACTATTTTTAGTGGTCGTTCAATATTCCGTAAACACGAATTTTGTCATATTACAGGTCGTGCAAGTTTATTTGGCTTTGCAAAAGATTTACGCCTGTATTCTAAAAGCTTACTCACACTCAAAAGTTGTCGTTCAATCTGAGCTTCCCTTGAGTGATTCTGTTTTTGAATAGTTGGAGGGTGAGTAGTCACATAGTAAGTTACCACACTAACCCTGCAGCTATTCAAAAACAGCACTGAAATTCAAGGGAACTCAGATTGAACCTCCACTCTTTGAGTGCGAATGCAGCGAGTGAGGCTTTAGAATACAAGCGTCCCGAGTTCGATTCTCAGTGAGGAACATTCTCAATGTGACAGTCGTGAGTTTTCTCCAGGTGCTCCGGTTTCCTCCCACAGGGAAATTTGCCAGGCGGGTTAAACTATATAGGTCAGGGTGCAGATCACTAATGAGGTATGGACTAATAACGGCTGCTTAAAGCGCCATTTGTAAGCTCACGGTCTGCTTCACGTCAGTCCGGTTCTATCTATCTATTCACAATGTAACCAGTCACTGAAAAACCCAGATAGGGAGTGTGCAGTAGTTCAATATCTGTATTTGTAAGTTAGCAACAATCGCGATAACAGGGCGGCCAATGGCCAGTGGCGTTCCTGGGCCATTTCTATATAATTAATATATACATATAATTTTTATTCATTCAGCTAAAAGCAATTGCGCGAAAGAACCGACGACTGTAACGATTTTGAAATGCGATGTTGTATAATTTACACAAATACACAATGCGGTGAGCCGGTGAATGCTATTAAATCGCGCATCGATTATCGGATTATATATTATATTATTGTTGACAGATACATTACGCAAATACAGGATTAGCGCAGCGCGCACTGACGCAATTTAACCGACAACAGGACATCAATGTAAAACCACTATCGAATAACGTATTTCTCAATAAACATTATTCTGTTAGACATGATGGAGCATTTAATAGCCAGCAGAAATCTTGAATTCTTGATTTACCAACGAAATACCAGATAAAATTGCAGAGTAATTGCTTCAGTTTTAATAAATTTTTTGTTACATCTCATTTTAGTATTTTAACGACGATGAATTAACCAGTTTACCGACAAGCCTTCAATTTTCCGATTTTACCGACAAACTAAGAGAAAACTGAGGGTGTAACCCCCCCCCACGTCCCCCGCCCGGCACTAGGCTACTGCCAATGGCACATCCATCAATTTGTTTGTATATACTGTATGGTATTGTTATAAACGAGAAAACTGTTACTGGATAAAACAAGAGATAAAAGTCGAATAGTATCCTCAATGACAATGTCGAGTTGAGTTCTGTCAGGAAGTGTCGGATCGCTTTCTAATTTCGTTCTAATATATCTGCATGCTTTGTCAACAGGAATGGTTGTAAACACTGAAACCAGGACAAATGAAATTATAGACTCGCCGGCCTTCTTCTATGACAATGTCGGAAATTTCGTAGTAGAGTTATCTACTGAAAAGCTATTTTGTTTTGAAATGGAGAAAGGATTTTTGTAACGAATTTGGAAGTTTTATGAAGGTCTAAATGGGTGACCTACTTTGTGAGAAACATTAATTAATTAAAATAGAGAATAATACATGCGTGGGAGGAAATAGCAGATTTATTTCTAAAATCGACTGTTGAACATGATATGATGATATCTGAAGAGTAAGCGCAGCGAACGAGTAAGATAGATCTGATATTTTCAAGCATTCGAGAAATAAATCTGGTATTTCGAATTCCATGCAAGCATTCATGTATTTTTCTGTTTATTATATAAATGACAGTCTTTGAAAGGCGATATTTTTTTTACAGAAAAGCAATAATTGAAAAACGATAATTTTCATGAAGCACTATACTTTATATAATAAATATTCATATTCTAGTTTCGATTTGTAACATGGCATAGAAAGTCTGAGATTTCATACCACCTACTTAAGTTGAGCGTCCTTTAGAATAATTTGTATACAGCCGTTGAAGGCCATACCATAGACTGATGGCCAAAAGCTCGTAGAAATAATTATGAATCAGAGAACGATTAATAAATAAGTGTTGTTGTTATATAGCTAGTGTGAACACCAAGCGTGATTGGCTGATTTGTAGTCACGTGACTTTAGATAAATGCAATGTATCCCGGGCAATAAGTGGAAAAATTGTTGCCCGCCCCGACCGGCTACGTACATAAATAAACAAAATGGCGGCACAAATTTATATTATTTAAACTACTGTTTTCGTGGCTTTGTGTTAAAATAAAGAATGTAAAAGAGAAGGAAAATACATAACAGGCAACAGGATATGCTGCTGACACCATTTAAGTAGGTTTTTTAAATTTTAAACTCATTTACGCTATAGAGTTTTTGTCATGAAATACAAATATTGTTGTATGAATGTTGTTCAATGTTGATATTTGTTTCGTCGCTGTATAACAAAACACTTAACGTCTTTTCCCTCGGGAAATAGTTAGTTTTGTTTTCCCTCGAAAACATTGAGATTCTCGGGAAAACAAAACTAACTATTTCCCTCAGGTGCAGACATTAAGTTTATAATATTTTTGCGGGTTTAATATTGTTTCTAAAACTTTCACCTTTGTAGTTCATAATTTATTTCCTATTTTTATTTATCAAGGATATATACAAATTAAAGGTTAATTTATTTAAATTTGCAACGTTTCGGACATTTTTGTCGCCTGAAGACGGACATTTAAAATATCCGAAACGTTGCAAATTTAAATAAATTGACCTTTTGTACATATCCTTCAGAAATAAAAATAAGCGGAAATAAACTGATTATTTTTGGTTTGAATTTCACATTTTATTGCTTACCAGACGACATTTTCAGATGCATTATATTGCTCTCTTTTCCTTTGTACTGAAATAACAGTAATTAATTTTTAGTGTTGGTGGCCCCACTAATAGAGCCGCAAATTTGTCTTTCGAAGGCTTCGTTCACGTGTTGTCTTTGTTTTTAAATCACAGTGAGCCCCGTGGAAACACATACAGTACATCAGTGTTCCACAGAAACTCCACGCGCAGTTTTCATGCTCATGCTCACATAATTCTGTCATCTTCGTGAAAAACTTTGTACGTTATTATATTTGTTAAAGATCAAATTGGGCAATGACATTCTTATATTTTACCAGACGCTAATGTGGATGAGTCAATGCAGATAAGAATCTTCAATCCAGACTTCAGTGGAATGTCTGCGCAACAACTTGAAGCTATGATTGAAAAGGCTGATCTACCAAGCTTGGGCTACAGAAAAATCACAGAGACAAAAACTGAAACCGATTTTGAAACTGGTTAGTTGATCTTAATACTGTTTCGAAACTTCGTTCATCGAAGCCAGGAGTTCTTTCTCAACAAAATCTTTTAATAAAAATTACCGACATTCCTTCCTTGTTTTTAAAGTTGGCGAAGAACTGACATGAGGTTTTTATCGAAATATATTTCGTGAGCCATTTTTAGCACATATTTTTTGACGTATAAAGAACTATTTATTCCGATATAATTTATATCGTTGGTAAGTGTCTGTTGCATATGTAAGTGCGTTAAAGGACAAAAGACAAGGAAGGGATGTCAGTAATTAAAATATTCCCCGAGCCGGCGGCGCGAAGCGCCGTGCGAGGGTACTAATTCCCCCCGGCTATTTACACCCGGGGAAACGAAAGCATTAGCGGAGTCTAAAGTTCATCAAATATCGCGGGCGTCGGTCACCAACGATGGGTGGTCATCCTCACTGATCTCAAAAATATGGCGGACTGTCATGAATAACGGACACTGATTGGTCCAATTTAAAGTTTGCATTATAACGGTTGCATGACGACAGCGAAATAGCAAACATTTCTTGATTTGATGAGTCGATGATTGATAAATTTCTTGCAAATATTCTTCATTTTTGCTGGTATTTCTGCAAGATTTTGTAAATTTCAAGAAAGAAAGGGCGAAAGAATCAGCTAAAAGAAGGGAGCCGACGTTAACGAAGGTAAGTTTGTTTTAAATATTGATTTTATAATGGCTTTAAAACCCGACGGCCTTTGCGTATATGAAACAACTAAACAAGACGGCATATAATTTTAGTGTATCTTTAATACTGATTCCCTTTTTTATTATATTGAATTTTTTGAATAAAAAATAAAGCAAAGTTGATTTGCAAGCGAGAATTTGAAATCATTTTATTGCAAACTGAAAGTTTATCGATAAAGCCATTTAATAGTTAAAGGCAGTTTAGTTTTATAAAGAACACTTTAAAACGTTTTGTGAATTGTTTGTGGTTGAATTTTACCTTAAATTGAAGCTTGTATTATGTATAATTACATACCTAACATAAATATGTTGGGAAATTGATAATTTTGTAATTAAAAGTGATATTTTTAGGCGATTTTCATTTGTAAGAATATTCTTAAAAAATTATCGTGTTACCATGACAACTACTTTAGATACTTCATGTTCGGAAAATACAATGGTTTTGTCAGCAAGGCGAGGGTTTCTGCATGCATGTATTTTCTAGTTAATTATTTAATAGATAACTACTGGCTAGTTAGTTAGTTAGTTAGTTAGTTAGTTAGTTAGTTAGTTAGTTAGTTAGTTAGTTAGTTAGTTAGTTAGTTAGTTAGTTAGTTAGTACAATATACACAGTGAACAGAATACGCTTCCAGAAGATCCTATAATGAACTCCTCCCTTGTACTATACAGTATAATACTGACAATGGACACAATGCCAGAATTGCTTTCATTAAACAACTATATTTTGTTAGTTAGTTAGTTAGTTAGTTAGTTAGTTAGTTAGTTAGTTAGTTAGTTAGTTAGTTAGTACAATATACACAGTGAACAGAATACGCTTCCAGAAGATCCTATAATGAACTCCTCCCTTGTACTATACAGTATAATACTGACAATGGACACAATGCCAGAATTGCTTTCATTAAACAACTATATTTTGAGAATAAGGTTTCACCAGAATCTAATAGACTGTATATTGTCTATTTCCCTTTAGCCCCATTGCTCTAGATTCCATGTTGCTGGTTTTAGCATGCCAAGCGCACACGAAGATTAGATATATCCCGTGGACAAATATGTTTCTCTTTGATCTTAGGCTCAATAACAAGTCTACCCTTAATCTATTGTGCATGAAACATAAGGAAATAACGACATACGAGACCATTTGGGCATGAGTGCTAAATAACACTACAGATTATTGTCTCCATTTTGATTACATAGGTTTACCAGTGAAGAAAGAGGCAGTGAGATTCTTAAAGAAAATGCCTTGTAGTAAGGTTGCTGAAGCTGAAGAAATGCTGAATAGTCTCTTTCCTGAAGCTCTTGGCGATGACGTTTCCGCAAGAACCAAATCTGAAATTCAAAACCGAAATCTTGAGAAGAGCCCAAGCTGTTTTTCTGGCATTGAGTTCCACCTCAAAAGTTGTGAAAATCGCAGAGCAAGACGTGGAGCAGCTGGACCGAAGGGATCAAAGGGGTCGAGTGGTTGTGGTGTTTGTATAGGTTTATGTATTGCTATTATGGCTCAGTGATCCAGGAATGCCGTGGCGTCCTGGACATAACTAAGTATATAAACAACTTTAGACTGCAGAAATTAGCAAAGCAAATTATTTTCGTTTAATATGAAATACTGTATAGATTTGTTATTTTCATTAATTTTTAAACATAGATTTGTTAATCCCATTAAATATTAAATAATTTTACCGATTTGTTATCATTGCTTGCGTGCAGTCCAGCGACACAGTGGCGTAGCCAGCCCATCGATTTAGTCCCGCTATGCAAATTTCAACTCATCATTATTCGTTTCTTTTGAAATTTATTGTGTTCATATACTGTAGTTTATAAACATGGCGATTTTGCATAGCAGGACAATAGATCGCTGGGCCTGCAATACGACGCGTGGTCGTGTTATTACTATACAGGGTGTATAAAAAAAGCGCAACCTCGGAATTTCCCAAGAAATCGACATTGTTTTAAAGACAAAAGATTTTAGGCGCCTGGGAATTTAAAATAGCATAACTGTCAAAATTACTGCACACGCGAGTGCATAAAGCAAAATTTATGCATTTATTCAATGCACAACAACAGTAATATGATCTATTAGCAATTCGATTTCAATTCCCAGGGGCCTAAAATCTTTCATGCTTAAGAATTGCAAAGTGATTTCTTAGGAAATTCCGAGGTTGCGTTTTTTATATACACCCTGTATATATTAGTCCATTTTTCAGGCTATGGGATCCAGGATTTTTTGGTTCCGACTTTTTGAGTCGTGGTTCAAACACCTGTCATCATGTTGTATACATTAATTGAGGTAATTTGCATATCACGGAATGCTGTATTTTACTGACGGCAGTCGGTCACTCTTCTGTCGCTCAAATTTTAAAGAAAATAGTGCTGTAGACTCAGATTGTATCTAGCCTCAGTTAATATTGAATAAACCTACAGAATCATGTAGATTATTTCCGACATAAGCGAATATCTTCCAGCAGGTACGTAAAGGTGAGAATAAATATAGTTTAGACTTTAGTCTCAATTGGTGTGTGTTTATGTTAACACTCGATTCAGTAAATCTAGTACTAGAAAATACATGCATGCAGAAACCCTCGCCTTGCTGACAAAACAGTTGTATTTTCCGAACATGAAGTATCTAAAGTCGTTGTCATGGTCACACGATAATTTTTTAAGAATATTCTTACAAATGAAAATCGCCTAAAAATATCACTTTTAGGGCCTGTTCATATGATCCCGCTTACCGGGACGTCTCGCTTACCGAGACAAATATTTCCGTGCGTTCATATGGAGTATTTCGTCCCGCTTGCAGAGATGAAATTACATTGTAGTTCTATAATTAGCGTATGCAAAACGTCTACATTTCAGTCAAGCAACACAAATACTTGGCGATTTTCACTGTTTTTCTTCGTTTATTTACAAGAAAAAGTATTGCTTCAGGTGGTTATTTAATACTTGTTTACAAAACAAACATAAAACCAAGTAAAAAGTGTTAAATTAAACCGGCAAGACTTGTTTCACTTCATCCCGGTAAGCGGGCTGGCGTGTTCATATGGAAAATTTTCATCCCGCCTACCTGTGATCTCGGCAAATTCAAACGAGATCTCGGCAAGCGGGCCAGCTCGCTTTCTCATATGAACACAATGCAAAATTTTATAGGAAAATAGATAGGCGGCGAGATCATCGGTAAGCGAGACGTCCCGGTAAGCGGGATCATATGAACAGGCCCTTAATTACAAAATTATCAATTTCCCAACATATATATGTTAGATATGTAATTATACGTAATACAAGCTTCAATTTAAGGTAAAATTCAACCAGAAACAATTCACAAAACGTTTTAAAGTGTTCTTTATAAAACTAAACTGCCTTTAACTATTAAATGGCTTTATCGATAAATTTGAGTTTGCAATAAAATGATTTCAAATTCTTGCTTGCAAATAACTTTGCTTTATTTTCTATTCAAAAAATTCAATATAATAAAAAAGGGAATCAATATTAAAGATACACTGAAATTATATGCTGTCTTGTTTAGTTGTTTCATATACGCAAATGCCGTCGGGTTTTAAAGCCATTATAAAATCAATATTTAAAACAAACTTACCTTTGTTAACGTCGGCTCCCTTCTTTTTTAGCTGATTCTTTCGCCCTTTCTTTCTTGAAATTTACAAAATCTTGCAGAAATACGAGCAAAAATGAAATATATTTGCAAGAAATTTATCAATCATCAAATCAAGAAATGTTTGCTAAATTGCTATTTCCCTCAATTCGCTGTCGTCATGCAGTCGTTGTAATGCAAACTTTAAATTGGACCAATCAGTGTCCGTTATTCATCACAGTCCGCCATATTTTTGAGATCAGTGAGGATGACAACCCACCGTTGGTGACCGACGCCCGCGCTCATTAGACAGATTTAGATCACTGAGCTATACTATATTACTGGAGGAAGTGCTCGGCAAAAAAAGTGTCCGCAAAAACATGGCGGATTTTCGCGCTATATGACGCCATTTCCATGACAACTGGTTCCTCCGGCTCATGGAATTACCGCTGACCAGGCTCAATTCTGCGCCCCCTACAATTTTCACACCCCCCTGGTTTTATCAAAAAAATTTTTGCTTTTCGAGGTTTTTTCAGTAAAATCTCTTTGTTTTTTTAATATTTTTTCGACTTTTGACCATTTGTTCAAAGATTTAAAAGTCGTGCACGGTATTCTTGCCCGCGAAAGACAACAAATCAATATGAAAACCCCGAGAAATTTAGGCAAAGGCGATATTTGATGGCAGACCTAACAGGTAAATATTTCACATACTATTGATATGCTTTTATTTTTAATTTTTAAAAGATAATGGGAGTAAATGATAGAATATAATCCATTACATAACAGGCTCTTTGTATAGTATAACGTATTATTTTCCCCCGTGTATTCAAAGTCTTGTTGTAAAAAATACAGAAACTTTGTTTTTTATATGTTCAAAGTTTTTGTTTGTTTGTTTTTTTACTTTACTAGCTTTGTTAAATTGTTGGCTGGCCATGGTTTTTGTTAAACAAATTTTGTTTTATTTAATTCAGTTAAATCGGTTTTTCCCTCAAATCCTCTGGGTTTTCTATATAGACTGATGTCTGACATGCTTGATTTTATGCAATTGTATGTGCTAAGTAAGTGTATATACAGGTGTAAAGGCATGAAACAATGTGCTTCTATCTATATTCTTTGCGTTTATATATACTAGAGTCTGTGGTTATTATAGTATGCATAATCTAGGATGCCAGTAGAAAATAGCCTAGGGCCTCAGGATACTGTGGGCAGCTTATGTGGTAATATGATTTCTACCTAGATTTCTGACTAATGACATGTTGAATTGAAGATTCTTGAGCCACTAGAAATAGGATTGTACTTCTTGAATGTTGGTTACCAATCACAAGTGTAGGTATAAGCAAAGTATCTAGATTATAGGCTTTATAGGGTTGCACTGGATCTCATTATACAGGCCAGAACTGAGAAAGTCACACATGCTAGTCAGACATCAAGTCAGAAACAATTTAATTGGTAGATAATGTCACTTCCAGTCCATGCAGGTGAATTTATTTGGGGTTTTGTTCATTTCAGTCCTCTCTCTGCGCACCCCTGTATCAGATGCAACTACCTGAAACTAACTAAATCAATGAACTTCAACATTTCAGGTGAAAGACCTATAGTATTATTTTTCAGGTAGTTGCATGCATGATACATTTAAGCCTTTAATAGTGTGGTGGCTTAAGCTGTTTTAATTCTCATTTCCTTTCTTCACTTCTTTTGTCTGTAGTGAAAACTTTAATTTATAACATTTTAATTATATAATCTCTTTTTGGTCTAATTGCAGAATTATTTGATGGTGATACAGTTCATATAGTTCAACCTCTTTATTAAAGAATTATCAATTATTAGAAAGAATTAATTTTGTTAGCAGTGGTAAAACTATCCAGACAAGTTATTATTATGACTTTGTAGCCAGATGGGTATGATTTGCTTTGGCTGTTCAGCATTTTGATCCATTGTGATATGTCTTGTGGTACCTGTGAATGATTTTACCTGCAAAATTAATGACACAATATCAGAATGTAACATTACATTAAGATACATCCTTACACTGCAATATAATTATGTAAATATAGATGTTCAGTGTGAAGAATATGGTCTTTGACATTCTTTGTATATAATAAACATGTTATTGTGAAATGGAAATGATCAAATAAAGTTATTTCTGCAACAGCCCTTGCATTCAAACACCTTATTTGTATTTTTCTTGTTCATGCTTGAGCATAAGCCTCAGGATAAGCAAATTCCATTGGATTTGTGAGGGCACTTGAACTATATTGGGTCATTACATGAATTACAGAAAAGATTCAGACTCCTACAGCCTGTGCTACAAGTTACAGCTGTGACAGTGTAGAGGGAGGATCCACAAGTAAAATGTGCTGGAATATCCAAACGGGGGGGGGGGTAATACAAATAAAAAATTATGTTTAATATGACTTAAAATTATTAAGCAATTGAGTGCACCAGCACTTCCCCTTAACAAGTAAAATTATTTGGTATTGGACTGAGTAGGATAACAAAGTAGGGCATAGTGTTCCTTAGTTAATCACTCATAATAAAGGTTTAAATGCCGAATTTTTTGAAAGTGCCAGAGTGGCAACTGGCAGGGTATTGAAAAGGTAGGTTGCGCACATGCATCCTAAATATAAATACTGCTACAAAAACCTGGTAGTTAACAGTTAAAAGTTAAGACCAATCTCAATCACGAATTTCATTATTTCAAAGTAATATAAAACAAAACAAGTCGGGAAACTAGGATTTTGAACCCAAGATATGAGACAAAATTACAGTATGAGAATGAGTTTGAATATAAAGAACAACAAAAAAAGGATACAAAACTACTGTGATATTGTTGAAATTAGCAATATTATACATTTGCTGTTTATAACGGTCGTTTTTGACATAATGTATTTATGCTTTTCCATCGAAATTGCAAGTTAAATTTGCCCGAAGCAGCCCAAGCTTTGGCAAGCTCGAGGGCAAGCTAGAACTTATAAAAAGTAAAAGAAATAAAACTTTTGTGAATCTTACCTGGAAACAAGAAATATAATAATCCTTTCGAGTAAATTGTTTCATCTACAAGCAGACTAAAAACTTAAAACTAACACACTTTTTTCTCGACTGCAAAAATATCAAAATGTTCAGTCGAAACTCGAAAATTATGATCAAAATTTGTGCAAAAACCAGGGGGGTGAAGGATTTTATTTCAAGCTCAGGATCGCGGTTGGTCAGTGGTAATTGCCATGAGCCGGAGGAACCAATTGGCGTCAGCAAACATGAAAATCCGCCATGTTTTTGGCGACACTTTTTTGACTGACGAGAGATAGGAGCACCTCCTCCAGTAATATTATAGCTCAGTGGTTGTAACTCATTAGTAAAGCCACGTGGAGAAGCCACGATTGCATCTTTAGATCACCCCTGATCAAGACACTAGACTGGAGTGTCGAAACGTTGTGTCTTGATTACAATTCGACTGGGCTTTGTAATCATATATTTAAACCAGAGTAACGGGCGAAACATGACTTTAGAACTGTTTACTTCTGAAAAAGGTCTCTGTAGCTTTGTGCGCGAGTTTACTCATTTGCATCCGTCAGAAACACAACATCGCCGACAAAATTGCTAGTGTGAACCAGGCTTAAGGTAATTCCGCAGTTTTGCATTGCGCACTTTTACTGCGCACATCTTATAACTTATAATTTCATTCATTATACGTACCGTTTCAAAAAAGATCATTTTATGACAATTTTATGTTACTTCAAAACATCTTTGTTTACATTCGTGCAAAGAATTACGTTAAAATCAATGTTTTCAAAAAGGGCATGCAAAAGTGTAGCTAGGGTTCCTGTGTCTGTAGTATATTTATTTACTTGTATTTCACGTTTTAATGCCACAATTCTCTAAAAAGATCGGTGACCCCCGTTTTTTAACTGATAATTTATTTTGAAAAAAAATCCTTTATCAATGCATGTTCTCAAAGAAAGATATGTAAAGAAATGTGGAAAAGACATTTGTGTATCAGAATTGTACACGTTAGTAGTTTCATTTTGCTCAAAACACAATATTTTTTCAAAAATGATTACAAGATAGGTTTAATTACTAATGCAAAATCCGCGCTAAAAACGTCAATAAATATCGGGCTGTTGTGATTTTGCTGTTACTCGTAATGAGCGTCAAGATGGCGCCATATTGGGGTAAAGGTGGTATATTGTGACTGTCATATCTTCTTAACGAGTTCGGTGACCCCAACTTTTTGTGTGATTTTACTTTAAGTATATCATAAACTCCATGCCTGGGAAGTTTCAGCACATTCTCATTTCGGGAACAATTACTGCGGAATTACCTTAAAGGGCATTGACGGAAAACACTTTTGTGCCATAGCCATCATAGGTATGCCTTGTGGCAATTACTGTTCGATTTCCTTGGTATCGCTTGTTGCTATCGAGACTAGTTGGCCCACAAACGGCACATACCTCCAAACACCTGTACTCTTCTGTTAATTGAGTATTAGGTAAATTCGCACATTGAATTAATTAAAAAATTATGTATTTGTATTGCAGGCTCGCTTCAGAAAACAATTCAGCCATAGCTAACTTGGATTATACACCATTGTTTGCGAATAATGTCATATCTATCTCTCCTTCTGATGGAGTACAAAAATCCATCCCTGTCAACATTATAAATGATGGGCTATTTGAAAGCGAAGAAAACTTTAGACTTCGGTTATCTAGTTCTGATGCCTCAGTAACAGTAACTACGCCTAATCTGGCGAATGTTTTTATTATTGACGAAGATGGTAAGATATATGCATGTAATGTATTTAACGTAAATCGTAAGCTCCATCTCAAATCCCACCGCACAATCCCGAGTTCCATAGCACTTTTTCCAATGCTTCACCACGACGATTCCGACAACATTGACAATTTCCCGACGGGTCTCAACGATAGGGGGGCATGCCCCCCCGGCCACGGCGCCACTTCATGTTTTCCTTCTGGAAAGGACTTGCCTATCTTTTTCGGTTTGTCAAATTAGTGACTGGGAAAATGGGAATGAACTCCACCCTTTCCCTCTCCCCTTTTGAAATTCACAACAACGAAAATCCCCCTTGCTGACTTGCTGAAAAAATCGTATTATATTGATATAGCATGTAATTTGAATCCAGGGTCTAGGGTGTCTGAATAAATATATCATGCCGTTTCGTACCTGACAGAGTAGAACTTACTTTTGTGTAAGTGGATAAATAGCATAGAAATATTAAACCTTTTATATCTGAAATATTTCTATTGTTTATGTGATAAATAGCCACCCCTTCCGCCATCTAGATAAGCCTTGCCAATATGGCTTCTCCCCAAACTTGCTTGAAATAAAAAAAGTGGATAATAAATTTAGGTGTATAAGTATATAATATAAACAAAATTCAGTTGGTTTTAAGATGATTTTGTAATGAAATCAAAATATCACTTTTTGCTTTACTTTTCGTAGTCATGTTACATTGTAAACTATTAGTATTAGAAATATTTCATTAACTGTTCCAGATGCTGTTGTTAGTTTCCAACAAGATGTTTACTGGACCACTGAAGACAGTGGAAGTGTTCAAATCTGTGTTGTAGCTTCAATTGTACTTGCTGATAATATTGTAGTAACGTATGTACATTTATTTTGAACATGTGGTAATCCAGTATGTATACAGAGTTAGGTAGAGATAACAGGATGAGACTGCTAGGTAAGATATCGAAACTTCTACGTTTCAAGCGAAGGCCTTCTCATTGCTCAAAAATTTTGCACATTTTTGCCTCCTATTTTCATGCACAATATTAATGCAGTGAAAGCCCGCTCTGACAAACTCGCTTATCTTGAACTCGAACATAAACGCACTAGCTCGAACATAAACCCATTTCCTGTGTATATTCCCATACTACTTCAACCATTTTTCACTCGGTTAACATGCAAATGGTGGTCCCCAGACCATCTGGACTCAACTCCTCTGCAATCTTGAGGTTCGTCTGTTCCTGTAGATAAAACGTAGGTTAGCGAGAGCCTCTAGACCTTGTCCAAAATCATGTGCCACAAAATGTGCCTCATTGTATCTGTTTGTGTCGATTGTCTTGCATGCTAAAGCCTGGTTCCCATATGGTTGTAACTATCGTGAAGGGTTGCTTGCTTGCTTGCTTGCTTGCTTGCTTGCTTGCTTGCTTGCTTGCTTGCTTGCTTGCTTGCTTGCAAATTTATTTAACCACGCTGGCCATACACAACATAGTTGTAAAATACATTGTGTTGATTTTCAGATGGGGCGTGTTATACTTACAAACTATTTTAACTCAGATTCTACTAGTCTCTGGTATAGTGGACATACTGCGTTTAAATTGTTAAAGCGAAGATGCCTTTTTCGCCTGAGAAGGAAGACTACTCCGCAGCATTGCACCACTATATTTAAAACTTCGTTTAAGATAGTTTGTTTTAGGTTTTGGAAGTGCTAGATCAGTTTCATTACTTCGAAGATTATATTCTCTATTAATTAAAATCTTTAATTTTTATAAATTTTTCTCTAAGACTTGGAGCGGACTGCTCGTTAAGAATTTTGTACATCAAAACGCTCTTCAGCCTATGACGTCTTACTTCGAGCGTAGACCATTGCAGATCCTCTAGTACATTTGTGGTGAATGATTTTTATCGGGACCTTTGCCCCCCTCCCCTGCGAAGGAGGCTACCCCCCTGATTGACGCAAAGATGTTGCCACGCTGTCGTTTTTCTGTCGCAACCATGAATGGGCGGATTTACTAGGGGGGTTAGGGTGTTGACCCCCCTAGAATCTCTCTAACCCCTCTTATAAAGTGTTCAACCCCACCAAAATTTTGCTTTACCTCTCCTACTTTGTGCGAAAGTCTTTAACCCTAACGTCTAACCCCTGGAAATAGCTCGCTCAGTGGTGCAGCTTGCACCCCACTAGAAATGTTTCCACCCATCCTTTAAAAAAAATGAAAATCCGCCCTTGGTCGCAACTGTCGTCGAGATAGAACTCGAGTCTATCTCGACGACACTGTTGGAACTATCGTGAACTGTTGCCAGCGTGTCGCGACAAGACTTTTCTTCATGTTTCCATTTGGTCGCGAACACTATTCTGACGACACTTACAACATGTTCGCAACAGTTACCACCATATGGAAACCAGGCTCTAGTCACCAGTTGTCACAACTATCTTCGCTTAATTTCAACATATTAAACTGTATTAAGATGCATTTACTGTTTTACTTTAGCGTTAGCACCGGCATTGATACCGCTATTCCTACACTCGATTTTCAACCACTTGTTAACCAACAGTTAACTCTTACATCGACAATACCCGTATGCTTCAACGTCACTATATTACAAGATATTAATGTAGAGGGGAATGAAACATTTTCCGTGGTGTTGGCAACTTTAAACCCACGTGTACAAATACCTGACAGAACGTCTTTGGTGGTTATTGTAGATGATGGTAATTATAGTTATATTTGTTCAGCGATCTCGAAATACCTACTCGAAATATGTAATGATTGTGCAATAAAGAAATCAGAATTCAGTTTTTACTAAGAACATATAAATGATATATGTTGTATACACCTACAACTGTTTCTTGTAAAAGTGCATTTCTATAATATAGTCAAACTTGTATTACTGTCGTCCCAATTGAAGTGTTGCTCAAATATTGATTCAATACATTACCTCGGGCTGACCAATTCATTTGATCAAGTTCCTCGAGATATTCATTCCAAGTATTTGATCATTTCTGGTCACTTCCTTTCTATTTATGATTGGTTAGTTGCACAAACAACAAAGGTGATTGGTGCATTCAAACTATTCAACAGGAAGTTTACAATTATACTAGGAAGTGTATGAATATCTCGAGGAACTTGATCAAATGAATTGGTCAGCCCGAGGTATTGTATTGAATCAGTATTTAAGCAACACTTCAATTGGAACGACAGTAACCCATTGAGCACTAGCTCTCTCCCCTTGACGAATATAATCGTCTGGCGTTAGACAGAGTAAAATAATACAGTAGGGTACATTAGGGTGCAATGCGACTTAATGGGTTAAGTAGACACATGGGCAGATAGTCTGATTAACCCATTGAGCTCCAGCGCTCTCCCCTTGACGATTAAAATTATTACATTAGGGAACTATGCAACTTAATGGGTTAAACGGACACCCTTGGTGATTTTTTTTGTCAACCGAAAAAAATGAATGTGTATTGGAAACACAATCTTCTGAAAAGGTATGCTTGCAACTATCTCTGACAATGGTATTTTTCCAATATTCTAGATGTGAACGAATGCACAGACCTGACTCATGATTGTCACCCTACTCGTGCTATCTGCAGTGATACAGAGGAGTCCTTCACATGCACGTGTCTCCCAGGCTATACAGGTGACGGACGTGCTTGCACAGGTAGGTAACATCAATGATCCCAAATTGCTACTGTGGTGAAATTTCTCCACTTCATGACAGTCCCTTCTTAGCGTATTATAGAATCGGCCAACAGGCGAAGTAAACACTTTTCCTCACTGAGAAGATTGGAACTGGGAAATCTTTATTCCACAACACTCTGCTTAGGACAGTGGCGAAGATAGCATGGAATGCAAAATCATGCTATTCAAATTTTTAATGATTTGTATTATGCAAACCTTTAGAAATGTATTGTCTTGCAGGTTTATTAGCATATAGCATGATCAGTTGGCATGGCTAGCTTTGCCACCGGGTTTTAAAGCCAGAAAGTCAACACTTTGATTTGGAAATATTTCCTGAACAAGTACGCTTGTAGCTGTTGAGGAAAAATAGGCACGGACGCGATAAATGTGCGTTATCTAGAAACATTTGCGGGTCTGAGAAACGTCATGAACAACATAGTTAAACGATCACTTTATCATGCAAAACTCTTATTTAGATATTGATGAATGCATGTTGAATACACACACCTGTCATGAGAATGCGACCTGTGTCAATACCATTGGCTCTTATGAGTGCGTATGTAACCAAGGTTACACGGGTGATGGGCGCAATTGTGCAGGTATGAACGAAAATATAAAATAATGCCTTGGGTATATGAAGAGCTGCAGTATATACTTAGGGCATATGAAGAGCTGCAGCAGAACGTTTAACAAACTAATTTTATAATAATAATATGTAATTAAAAACATTCAATTTACAAGATCTTTAGAAACACTGTTGATAAGAATTAGTCTATCTGAAATTATTTTCCTATTACCTATACTAATTAACTTTATATATTAATAATAACAAACTAATTATAATAATAATGTTGCACATCCTTTCTAAAATTATTTAAATGTCATTATTATATAATCATTTTTATCACAGTTATTTATGAAGGAGAAATTCATTTCAGAGTATTAAAACACTGTTATCAATATGTGTCATCCATTACTGAAAGATAAACACAATTATACAGATAAAAATGTTAAAATATGTAAATATTATACCAAGAACTAATGAGAAAAATTAAACAACCGCTATGTGATAAAATGACTCTTGCGCGAACTCTAGCCTTACTTTTGGAATTTTCAAAATGCCATTCTTGTTTCTTATCTTTCAGATATTTTCGATTGCAACCCCGAACCAAACTCGTACCCATGCCACAGATTCTCTCTTTGTTTGGATACCTTGGGATCTTACATCTGTTGGTGTCCAGCTGGTTTTGTTGGTGATGGATACAATTTCTGTAATGGTACGTTCTTAATCATGAGTATACCGCAAATTATTTAGTCCCCCCCATCTTTGACCCCCCCCCCCTCAAAAAAAAACAAAATTTAATGACACTCTGCGCTTGTCTCTTGTAAAGCCCCCTTCCCTTTGCAACAATAAAAAAATGCATGTGCAGTGATTACATTTATTAATTTTTCTGCAAGTTCACGTAGTTGACCATTTTGGTGGCACCATGTTTTGTTTCGTCATTAGAGAGGTTAAGATACCCCGTTTGCGGGTAATATTAACGTACTCGTAAATCGGGGAACGACTTGTAACTTAAGAAATCCAAGATATTCCGGCGTGAGAAAACCGATCAGAGAATGGTAACTTTCGCTATTGAGGTTCGCCATAAATTGTTGAAAACTTTGACGAGCATATGTGCATTATTTATTTGGGTAAGACTGTTGAAAATTTTTGCTATTTAAACGGCCCACAAATAATAAACAGAAAACACCCGTACCCGTTTGTCTTTTACGTGTAGACCATGGTTTACCGCGGGGGAACGGGTAGAAATTACGGGTAAAAATGCTGACATCAGCAACAAAAGTTGGTAAACAAAATGGCGATACTCGTACCCGTAAACCGGAACCGGGGTATCTTAACCTCTCTATTAGTGTCATTCACGACATTCACATGGCAGGACAACGTTCTTCTTAAATTGCATCCATCAGAGTCAGGAAAATATCTCATTGCTAATTTTTTCGAGTTGAACTATGTATATATATATATATATATATATATATATATATATATATATATATATATATATATATATATATATATATATATATATATATATATATATATATATATATATATATTTCAAAAACTCATTAATAATTCATGAAAGAATTATCCAATCTTGAGTAAGAAATTAGTCACGTGCGTACGTCTTTATACCAGCTAAAGAACACTTTAACAAAAGACCATTGTTATGCAAACTATATAAAGATTTTTATATAAAGATTTTTATATATAGATTTGACCTAATAAAACACTCCTGCTCGTTTTTTAAATAGTACATAACAGTTTTTCCATATTGATATATAATTATATCAACACTCGTGGAAGTTGGGAAAACTCGAAATTGTACGAAAACACTCCGCCCTTGTTTCCATACAATTTCTCGTTTTCCCAATTCCACTCGTGTTGATATAACTGTATATCATGTACTATATACACTCTTATTATCAACCACATCGTGATGTTATACCTCATTTATGCACGTATATACCTATGAAGTTATTTTTTTATTGATTCATGTAGACACAAATGAATGCCTGTTGGGAACTCATAATTGCGCAAGTGTAGCAGCGTGTCAGAATACTCGTGGATCATTCATCTGTCAATGTCCAGTCGGCTACTTCGGTGATGGTACACAATGTGTTGGTATGTTGAACTCAACCGATCTATTAATGGAGTGTATTTTAGTTAATTTAGACCGCGGTCATTTCTGCTGATTTCATAACATGGTTTCTACAGCACAAACTTACATGTGCATATGATCAAATGCGCTTTACATCAAGTTAAGTATTTACGCTTACCGAATTAGGGCTGTTTATATGGAAGCCGGGATGGTCCGCATAGCGAGACAGCCCGGTAAGCGGAATGAATTTCTCTGACCCCGCTTGCCCGGACAATTTTGTTGTCTTGACATTGTTTTGACAGTTGTTATAAATAGCTCACGGTAGCATCTTTGAGCTTTCATTCCGGCAACCAAGCCAGCCCGCTAGTGAGTGTTTATATGGAGAAATATTCATCCCAGTAAGCGAGTTCTCGCCTCTTTTAACCGAGATCTCTGCAACCGGGTCGGCCCGTCCTTATAAACGCACGGTACTTAGAGCAAAACCATAGAAATAATAGACAATCTAATATTTGTAATATTTCTATGAGCAAATGGTCTAATATTTCTATGAGCAAAACAAACACCGTGAAACTTTGTTAATTTGTTAATTAACCTGCAAATAAAACAACATGAGAAAAATATAAACAATTGAAAGATATTTTCATAGATGTTAATGAATGTGTTCTTGGAACTGACCTTTGTGATGAAGATGCCAGGTGTAACAACACAGTTGGATCATACGATTGTACTTGCAACCTTGGATATTCTGGAAATGGCCGAGTTTGTAATAGTAAGAGTTACTTTTCTTGTTTTTATAGATAATATAAAACATTCAATAAAACATTGCACTATATAGGCCTATATGATGATGGACAAAGATTAGCGGAAACTGCTTGTGACTATATCTGATCAGAGAATGTGTTCAATGTTAAATAATCTGCTTGTCACGTGGTTTTGGTGAGGAATGTCTGAAAAAAATTAAGAAAACTTCGACGCTTTCGTGCAGAAATGAATTAATTTATCACTTACCAATGCTTTTCATGGTTGAATAGTTTGCAGCTTTGTTGCACATTTAGCCTACTCACCTACCATTCAAAGGCGTTCAGCAATTATTTGGGTGGGAGGGCGTTTCAGTGTCCGCCTGCTGACGAAGAGATTTTGTTCGAAACGTCGAAGGTTTCTTCATGATATTTTCCATGTTCACAGTTCTAGCCAAGAACTCTAATGTTTACTGGAGAATCCACCTAAATTAGCCTTTCTCAAATTTTTGGGTGGCTTTTCAGCCAAAGTCTGGGAGATAAGTCCACATAACAGCGACTTTTCATAATTTTTTTGACAAATGGTGGTAAATTTGCTTTGTCAATGGTTAGTTTATTTTGAAAAATTGCTTTTCACATTGTTTAATTGTCTGCATTGGTTAACGAGAATTAGGTGCCACCCAAGAATGGCGGATATTCGTCATCGTGAGAAAGGCTAATTGCGCCTCCACGTTTGAGGTATTTAAACGCTGATTATATATATCGCAGCCGTGTGTCTCGTCTGAGAATGAAGAGAATAATAATTTTATATACTATATCTAAAATACAGTATTTATCATTTTAGATATCAATGAATGCCTGACCAACCCATGCGACGCGAACGCTAACTGTGTTGACTCAGATGGTTCATTCCAGTGTATTTGTAACAGAGGTTTTACTGGAAATGGCTTTACCTGTACAGGTAGGATGGTTAAGTTTCATTCTGTGAAGGACTTTATCGAGGATAGCTGAAGCTCTCATCTATAGTCTCTGTTTCAGGGGGTTTTTCTGGGCGTGACGTGACGGGTATTTTTTCATTTTAAAAACTTAATTGTAACTACAATCCTAACACTAATGCATATTTTAACACGCATTGTAACCTAATCCACGTGTCATTTTGCCCAAATCATTTTGAATCTTAGATTATTACTTGAGTGAGGCATCCAATATGTGATGCAAATCTTAATATTTGCCTAAATCAAATATCTAATCAAGTGATCGGTTATACATGTTCCTTATATATTATTTTTTCCCATTTTTTTAATACTAACTCAAAATGCTAAAAATAAGTAAGCCAGAAAGTTAGTATACTGTATATATTTGCCCACGCCTCAATCCAACATTGACTGATTAACAGCTATACACTATAACTTATTGGATTCTTCTGAGCCCAATATAGCAAAATATTAAGGCGAAACTTCAACATTGGGTGAGACTGAAGATTGAGTCCAATATTGAAGTCGAATCAATACGTTATAGTGACTCAACCTCGTACCCAGGCTCTGATAACCTGGTATAGAATGAAAGCATTAATATGCCAATCTTTTTCAGCGAAACGTCGAAGGTTTCTTCATGATATTTTCCATGTATACAGTTCTAGCCAAGAACTCAAATATTTACTGGAGAATCCACTTAAATTAGCCTTTCTCGCATTTTTTGGTGGCTTTTCAGCCAAAGTCTGCGAGATAAGTCCACATAACAGCGACTTTTTTATAATTTTTTAACAAATGATAGTAAATTTGCTTTGCAAATGGTTAGTTTATTTTGAACAATAGCTTTTCACATTGTTTTAAATGTCCGCATTGGTTAACGAGAATTAGGTGCCACCCAAGAATGGCGGATATTCGTCATCGTGAGAAAGGCTAATTGCGCCTCCACGTTTGAGGTATTTAAACGCTGATTATATATATCGCACCCGCGTGTCTCGTCTGAGAATGAAGAGAATAATAACAATAATTTTATATACTATATCTTATATATTTATCATTTTAGATATCAATGAATGCCTGACCAACCCATGCGACGCGAACGCTAACTGTGTTGACTCAGATGGTTCATTCCAGTGTATTTGTAACAGCGGTTTTACTGGAAATGGCTTTACCTGTACAGGTAGGGTGGTTAAATTTCATTCTGTGAAGGATTTCATCGAGGATAGCTGAAGCTCTCATCTATAGTCTCTGTTTCAGGCGTTTTTTTGGGCGTGACGTGACTGGTATATTTTCATTTTAAAAACTTAATTGTAACTACAATCCTAACACTGATGCATATCTTAACACGCATTGTTACCTGAGCCACGTGTCGTCATTTTGCCCAAATCATTTTGTGGTCATACCCCGGGTACCTATGACTGTGTGTGTAATACTGGTTTCTCCGGTGATGGACATAACTTCTGCAACGGTATTTTTATTTTTCCTATTTCCTATAATAATTCATTTAATGTCATTCACACAGGGTGTTGTTGTCCAAATCACCCAAGCCACTGAGGCTCGTAGTAGTCCTAAAATGTTAGCAAGGGAGCCCCCCCCTCCCCTTTCCCGAACTGAGAGGAAATTTTAACAAGGACCTGATCCCCTCCTTCACCCCATCCCCTCCACTACACCACTGCATGCCCTAAGTCCAAAGAGTTAGTTTAATTGTCGAGGAAGGAAAACTGAAGGACTCGAAGGAAAACCCTTGAAGCACAGGAGTAAACCAACCAAACTGCTTGCAGTACTAATCTGCTTTCCGCCCTTAATATTCTAAAAAGACTTTTCTACCAGAGACGCGAGGGACAGCGTATGCGTTTCTTTGCTTTTTATTAATATAAATTTACTTGATTTTTTCGTTTTATTTAACAGACGATAACGAATGCACTCTTGGAACAGATAACTGCCATGTAAATGCAACTTGTAACAATAATCCTGGATCATTTAACTGCACGTGTCTGCCTGGATTTGTTGGAAATGGAGTTTCTTGTCAAAGTAAGGACATTTAGCCTAATTATAGACCTCTTGCAATTATTGACCTCATGGCAAATTTTGAATTTGCGTATAGCTTAATGCTAGGTTAATAAAATACTTCAAAGCTATCTTCCCAACAGCTTGTTTATAACAATGGAAATATTTCTCTACAAATCTTGTCTGGACTAATAAAAGTGTTATTTTATGACGTTTTGAAACAAAAGGACGTGCGGAAATACAACCATGCAGGTTAAATTTTAACAGTGGGTTAGCGCTGATCCACTCACTCTCTGTTTTGAACAACCGGCCCCGCAGTCGTGGTTTGTTTCTATAGTTGTACTCCAGTTGCCGTGCATTAGGTCATCCTAAGGTCAACTGCAATAGCACAAGTAGCGATATTAATTACAGAATCATTTTCAGAGATATGAAGAACTGTTTCAGTCTATTACTCCAGCGAACAACGATAAATCCGTTGTCTCATGCGGCATTCGCCAACTCATGATCTGTGATTGTTCATCTTTCCCAGAACGTTGCCCTTCAGACTGTATTTCTAGGACGGGAGACGACCACCGAACAACAGGTCCCAGAACTCCAGATGAGTTTGAGAGAGTCAAACAATATCACGAGAGCTTCTCGCGACGTGAGAGTGCAATGACGAAACCTTGTGTCGGCGCTATGTGGTTTTAACCATGACAGTTTTAAAGAAACGTTCATTGGCGACTACATGCAAACCATATTGTCTATTTCTCATGAGACACTAATCTTTTGTTTTTTCCCTTCAGATGACAATGAATGTGCAAGAACTGTTTGTCATCAACATGCTACTTGTACCGACACCATTGGTTCCTTTAGATGCGACTGTAACGCAGGCTTCATGGGTGATGGAATAATATCTTGCCAAGGTAAATAATTGTCATTGGTGATCCTCCTCCAACACCAGATTTTGGGCCCTTTCCCTAAATCTTTCCAGCTGAATCCCTGCTTTCCCGCTTGTCTCCATACTCTTGGAAGGAAACTACATAACCCTAATCCTATCCCTCCAATTCTAACCTAATGTTAACTGTGCACTAAAATTATTGTTCTGTCATCTCGGGGCATTTTTTGGGGAGTATCCCATATTCGTGGTAGTGATTTATTAGGTTAATAGTATTGGCGATGTTGGATGGCGGGTGGTACAAATTATGTAAATCTAACACCCTGGGGTGACTTTCTTATATGCTAGTTGCGCAATGTTTTTCGCAAATTATAGTTATCCTCGTGCAAAGTGACAAGAAAACTAATCTGAACCACATATAGTCCTACAGTGCTATGGAGCATGCGCAAAACAAGTGCATCACAAGCGTTATTTTTGAATGGTTACATGTACCAGGGGCTTATGATTCCGAAAAGTAGTAACAAACTCATGCAGCGAATATATAAAGACAAAAAGATAATCATACATATTTTATTCCAATAAGCAAGTTTATAGGTGGGCATCCGTTAAGTGTTTGATATGGTGGCCACACATGCCCATCAACTTTAAAAGTTTCTATGACATGTATTTCCGCCAAACACAAGCAATACATATATAGCGATCAATTTAGTCACAGCTCAGATAACTGTCTTACATTTTACAGATGACCACTATATGCTACATTGCTTGTCCTACTTGGTGAAACCCACAATTCTTGATAAATTACAACAGTATTCTTATATTTTTTTCAGATGTGATAAATTGTATCCCAACAAGTTTCGACTGGCCGTGCCATCAAAGAGCAAACTGTGTGGATGAGCCTGTTGGATCATTTACTTGTACCTGCCGTGCTGGTTATACTGGGGACGGATTTACTTGCGACGGTAAGGAAATCAAGCTATCTTATCTTGACCCACATGTTGTTACATACTTGTAGTTTTTATGTAATATATAAAAAGAGAAACCTTTACCTATTTCCAAACACGTAGAAATTTGATTGAAAACGGGACGAAAGCCAAGTGTTTGGAAATTTGATGATAAACTACTGAAATAAATACGTTGGGGGAGAATTCGCCTCTAAAGTTGTTGTAATCTATGGGAGATTTTAACCACTTTTACCTAAGTTTTCCTCATGGATCATTTCAGTAAATACGAAGCTAAATCTAACATGATTTGTGATTGGCTTCTTTAAACAGAAGTGATCAGTGTTTGTGGTCCATTCTATAGAATGTTTATTCTTTTGTTTCAATGTGTTTTATTGTTGTAATCAACCAATCACAAAATCTGCTAGTGTATGGTGTAGTCGTTTGTACGGAACGCCATAGCTGGTGAATAAGATCAACTTCTCCCCAACATCATTATGCGGATACGCCATAACTTTTGCATGCACTACCAATCGTAAGGTATTCGTAGAAAGACACAAAAACAAACTGTGACGCTTGTTACGTAGTAGTAAAACTTATTGTAACGTTGTATTGTATTTTCAGACTTGAATGAATGTACTCTTGGGCTTCACAATTGTAATGCAACGAATTCTGAATGTGTTGACATACCTGGATCATTCCGTTGTCAGTGCAAAGATGGTTATATTCTAATTGATGATACATGTCAAGGTGAGAAAATTAAACTTACAAACTGTTTAATTTATTTAATCTTATACAGGGTGTATAAAAAAAACTGAACAGATTTGAAATTGCTCTCAATTTTGCAAAACAACTAATAGTATCCAGTCTTTGATATATTATATATAGTTTCTTTGGGTACTTAGGGGCGGACCATTAGAAATCCCGGGAGGGGGGGTGAAAATTCCCAAAAAAAAATTCGTGCAAAGAAAAATGCCTGGAAAAAAAATTCGTGCAGCCATTACGCCAGGGAAAAAAAATTCGTGCAAGCAAACAGCAAAGTCATGGGCGTACCGGGCAGTTGGCAGTCGGGCAATATTCGCTCAACAGTCGGGAAAAATTGACAAATTCTGTCAATTTTGTGGTAACTTTTGGTATGTGGTATGTCCCGAAAAACTTTTTGACCCCTAAAATGGTACACTGACCGAAATTTTTTTTGGCGACGGGTGGGGTGGGAGGGGGAGGGGGGAGGTCGCCATGAACAAAGTACAAGTAGTGTTGAAAAAAAATTCGTGCAGAGGTTAAGTGCATTAAAAAAAATTCCTGCAGACACATGAGACTGAAAAAAAAATTCGTGCCGCAAAAATTTTATACCCCCCCCTCCCGGGATTTCTAATGGTCCGCCCCTTATACAGGTATATAATGTAGAATAATGGAAAAAAATT